TTTACTCAATGTTTACTTGTTCCTTTTGTGACTGTTTTGTTATATACATGTATAAATACATTAATTTTGTAATTATGTGACGATGACAAATCTAATACTGTATATGTTCTCTATTGTCAATATTTTTGAAAAGATTTTTTTTAACAATCGACTCACTTTAAGCTGTGAGAAAAAGTAGTTATACTACCAGTGATCAAAAAGAGTTATGTTAATGCCATTCTTCAAATAGATATGCAACAATTGTAATGGACATTCGCTTAATTTCTATTATCTTTTTCAGTTTTTCCATTGTTCGAAAAGAAAGAACTTACCAATACTAAAATGTTCATAAAACAAAAGGTCTTCAGGGTTGATACACTGAATGATATAATGCCTATATGCTTCAAGATAGTACTGTATTTTTGCCTCCTTGTCATCAGTTTCAATCTCATTTGCATCTTTTGTATTTGCCTTTGCTGGATACTGAAGTTGCGCCATTTTTTATTGTTGCATTGAATTCATTTTTATGAATAATTATTTCTGATACTGTCCTAAAATGATATATTGTTTTCACATTCTAAATTGTCGGAAATGAATGTTGTTTTGTTTGTTTATATGAAGATTGTTTAATTAAATAATCGATTTTTTTTATCAGAACGAAATCATAATCATAATCTCAATCCATTTTAACATTAAAAAAACACATGTTTGCCTTTTCAACAGAATGAAAAATCAATTATTTTCTTAGGTTTTACATGTCTTAAATAACAACAGAGTTTACAAGTTTTAGCAGGTAGTAACTTAGCTACAAAATGTTGTGTTTCTAAAGTTTGAAAAAAGCATACTTATCGTCAAGAGTTTAAGCATAACGAGAACGATTTGCTGCCCTAAAATCACCAATCGGAATTTCTCAGCTATTATCGATAAAAAACTATAGATTAAATACCTATTTAAAGTAGTTCTATCACATGGTTACAAAATAGTGGTTCGCACAACAAATTAAAATATCTGAAATCCAAAGGCTAAACAAAATCTATTTCGATTAAATTATGATTAAAAATATATCTGACAATTATAAATTTAACAAAATGGCCTATGATTGACAATTTTTCCAAATCCGAATTAATGTCAGCAAGTAGACATTTTATACTTTCGGTTGTTACAATCATAATAAAAAGTATATAAATAATGTACTGTTAACTTTTATATCTATAAAATTACTTTATTTAAGTGGATTTTTTTACCTTATATGATTATCGGAATAGATTTAATCAGCACTCCACGTATTACTACTTTTTTGTCATATTTAGTTTGGCGTAGGTTAGACCGAAATTACATATCCCCCATGGGTATTCTTACTATTGTGTTAAGGTTCTTATCCAACGTTTGACGGAAAGGGCCGAGAAGATGCGATTGTAGAATCACATTATTTTCATCCTCGAAGAATCATCTAATCGAAAATTAATATCACAAGGTATAATTACGAAAAGCGTACATATGTAAATAAACATATGTACTTTCGATTTCAAATACACGAGAAAAAAGAAGAAATTTTATAAAGTATTTATACATATGTATATACAACCTATATTTTAAATATGTACTTATAGTATGTAATTCAATAAGCAACTGATTGAATGGAAACAGAATAGAATAGAAGTCATACATGTATTAGGTAAAGTACTTACTTAATCGTCAACAAACTGCCTATAATATCAGTTTGAATCCTATTTATAACACCAGCCGATAAAATCAAAGATAAAGTTGCCTATCGTTTCACGAAAAATCAAGTAAAAATTTGTAACGGGGTATACATTAAATGGGGTTTACTTCACTCTACAAATAGCTACAAGTGATATATATATATATACCTTACATGATAGAAATAAGATATTATCATAAAATAATTTCCCCTACACAAGTACTATCCAGCATTATTGTATATACTATACACAAGGTATATAACTCGCCATATCATATATCCCGACACGGTTAAAATTTTGCTATCGCATTCAAAAAAATAAAAAATAAGATACATTTTAATACCTATACGTGCAAATATTGCACAATAGATATATTAAAATATTAAACCATCTATCTTTATTTTGGAGAGAACAAAGCTGAAATTGATAAATAACTTAAATTCTAAAAGTAATAAAAAGAAAAAAATAAACTTACTTCAATTAATTTATTTTACCATCACCAAATATCGTCTCTAATTTTTTTGTTTCATTTTTACCGTCTTGAAATTCACTTCCTTCTACATGCAAAACTGCTCTTGATGACATTTAGGCATATTTAAGTATCCTACGAGCAATAACTGCCTAATACAATATGAAAACTTGAAAAGCAATGACAGTCATCAGCCCGTAGAATAAGTATACAACCCAGCGTTCGTAAGTAGCCTTTCAATAATTCCATGTTTTCCTTATTCCTAGCCGCTTTCTGAATGTTTCACATCTGTCAACAATTATTTATTGTCTGTAACAATCCTCAAATAAATTCTCTTTCTTATAAGAAGATATATGACTAAAAATCCAAATCATATCCCTCTGAATCAAACACAATTATTTTCCTCCCGTGAAATATACAGCTTTTAAAAATGGCGCCTTTAACATTACTCAAAGCCTGGTCTAATATACATTCGCCGTAAGTAACGGAAATAAAGTCGGATGGTTTGACTTTTTTGCTACTAGAACTTGTTTGTTTTTATTATTAAAATGATCATTCATGATTTTGGATTAAAAAAATAATATCATCGCCATTTAACGTTGATGGTCGAACTTATATTTCAGCTCATGAATTCTTGTATTTATAGGAAATTCGACTAAGAATGAAGCTATCAGTGGGGAAATAGATTTTAATATTAAAGATAATATTGAAGAAATTTCATTAAAACTTGTATTTAAGCATAAAATAAAAAGAAAATGTGTGTGTTTGTTGTGTAAGATGTAATTTTATTTCAACGAGTGAGCTTTAAAAATAGTAGTTTCAAGAATGACAAATATCCTCTATATCTTCTGGATGCGTACTGCTTTAATGGTTAATTATTATTCAAATACAAGTATTAGCATTTCCAAAAATGCTTGGAACCGCCGTTCAGCCATGATATAGAAATCATATTCCTTTCTTGCCTTATACTTTATTGTATGTAGTCAACACATAAAGCAAACAAAAAAACTTGATTTACTCTACCATTCCGTTCTTGTCAAGATGTTTTGACGCGCTCAGTTACATTCTGCTGGGTCAGAACAGTATTGCCCATGAGAAACTTATGGCAATAACTTGATTGTAGTATAACAAGTTAGACTACATGCATTACTTAATAAGTACGTGCATCAATCTGCAAAAAAATAGCTTCTTGCGTAATTAACAACAGTTAGTTGCTACACATTAAAATTGATTTCTGTGAACATGCTATAAATGGAATTTACGTTATATACTCCGTCAACTGCTTTGCGAAGTTTTTTCTGAAAAGGACTATAACTGACCTTCTATATTATAGGCATGATACAATAACAACATTCATAGTATTAAACTCGCCCGGAAGAAAGCATTTATAACGCTTTTTTTCTTTAAGTGCAAAGTTTGGAAAGAATGCAAAATATACTCTTTTTTAGACTACATTCTTTAATTAGAAATGACATGTAGCAAAGAATATTGCAATTTGCTGTGTTTATCCTGCAAGAGGTTAAAGACTGGTACTGAGTTCGTACATTGATAATGGTATTTTTCAGTTGTACGAATGAGCAACCCATGGCGGTTGGGCGAGTCCATTTAAGCATCCCTCATGACGTCCATTTTGTTATCATTTGAAATTGAAGAATTCGCTTTGATTGGCTTAATGCAGTGGTGTACAGCAAACTGTTTCAAATCTTGGTCATTGTATATAATCGCCGTCGAGAGAGGCTATATCTGAATCTTAATGATGGCATTTTGACCATTATTTTTTCTGCGTTTTTTTTTTGTTAAACAAAAATCAACGTTCAAAAATGTACAAATTAACTTATACCTAAATAACCAAAGAGTGTAACACTCTTATGTGTTATGCTGTGCAAAGTATAACAACATTAAATTCGTGAGAAGACATTGATATTAAAGTGAGTGAAATCGCTAGCCAAAAAATATCCGATAAAGATGTAATACTATGAAAGTTAACAATATATAGAATTCCAAATAAAACTTTTCCTCATCTTTTTCATGACTTTTTACATTGGCTCTAAAAATGCAGTCTTATTCGGAAAATTATTGAAATTATGTTCATTCATTCACTCTTGGCTTTACGTAGTAGATTACAAACGGGTTTATAACAAAAAAAATTACCCCCCCCCCGAAAACAAAACAACGAACAAAAAAAAAAAAAAAAAAAAAAAACAAACAAAAAAACAAAAAAAAAACAACAAAAAAAACAAAACAACAACAACAACAACAAAATAAACACAACAAAAACGGGAACGAGAGAACAACGGTTTTCTTGTACACGGGTTTTCAGTTGACGAGCATAGCATAGACCTGAAATCTAGTTAGGACAATACATACAATACATGGACCCTCTGAGACAATTATTTACCCGATTTTATCACATGTTTACTTTAAGCTTTCACAATAGATACATTGGGAAATAATTTATTGCACACTTAATTGTGTCTTATATTATTTTCAGAAGTACACTTGTCGAGCTGCCTCATTGAATGATTCAGGTCGTTGCTGCTTTTGATTCGTGATAATTGCATGTCCACATATTATACAGACCATTTAACGCTATTCTGTGAAGTAAAAAATTCGTGTCTTCATTTATCTAAGACATGTCTGAAATACATGCACGAGGGGATTTAAATGTGTTAGCCTAATTTATAAACGCGCATTGATTGTTTTTCAATTGTTAAAACTGTAATGTAACGTACACATGCACGTTTGAACAATTGACCTATTAAGACAGTCTTATCATGTTTTTTATGATTTTCTTTTTTTTATTTCTAACACATTTCAAAGGAACAAAAACATTATGATTAGCCGACATGATTTATTATTGGTTTTCATAATACATCAAAACTTTATGCTTTAATATGTAATGAAGTACATCAAATTGAGCAATAATATATAATAAATAACAGAAACAATTATTATCCATTTCATTATCTTATTGACTGCCTATGCAATTCATTATTTTAATTCATTAACAATGTGACTCAAATTAATACAAAATACCTTTGATGTAATATTTAACCTATTCAGTTACAGGTTCGTGCTTTTAAATTAATCATAGATTAGCACTTATGTGGTTATTTAAAAAAACATCTCCGCTGCAGATGTGACGCGAAGTTTATGTGACAAAACTCATCATGATAGTTTTTTAGTATACATTGTTTTATTTTAGATATGTATCACCATAATTATGTATCCCAATGACGGTTCATCATGTATCAAGTGTTTCGTATGTTACCAAATACTCTGGGTATACCTGAAATAAACATGAATAATATAGTTAAGGTCTTATTACTGGATGTATACTGCCTTTAATATACTCTTAGTAAGAAGCAACGATTTTCACTTGTGTCATTAAAGTTCAAATGATAACTAATCAAAAACTAAGATCTAGTTTATAGATAATTTTATGCTGAATTTCCCAATATTGTATGGGACATTAAAAAAACTAATTTATCTTAAAAACTCAGGCTAATCATATTTGGCAACTAGTTAGTATGTATTGGACATTTGAGGTTTTGTAAAAAATAATGAAAATGTAAATCATTCACTCATTTAACAATGTTTTACCTGATCACCATTCAGTATTTTGTATTTGAGGTAGAAATCGTTGTTAAAATCAACTCTCATTCTCAAGGAATGGCATTCTTTGAAAGTCTCTAGATAAGCTTCACAAGGAACACTTGTGTTAGTTCCTGTTTTCGTTTTTCCCAGACACACACTGCATAACAAGATACTTCTCCTGAAAGTGATTTTTCGTTTAAATAGGCTCTAAAATGATATTTCTTACCAACGATATTACAATTGCTGAGCAGTTTTACAAAGAGGATATTTTTTTGTTTCGTGTAAGATGAAAGTTTATTTCAGTGAGTGACCTTTGAAAACAGTATTCTCACGTGAAAATTCTGTTTTTTTTTAAGTTCATGAAATAAAATAAAATTACATCTTACTCAACAAATAAACACATTTTTTTTATTTTATGCTTAAATACAACTTTATGAAATTTCCTTAATATTTTCTGGAGTATCAAAATATGTTCTTCCCACTGGTAACCGCGATTTCAGACGAATTAGTCAGAGCTAAAAAGTAAGTTGAAAAATCAACATTAAATGGCAATAAGAGAATAAGATAATTTATCGTTAAGAAAGGCTACGTGTGATCATTTGTTTAGATTATTAAAACAAACAATTCTAGAAGATGAAAAAGTGACACCACGCCGAGCTGCTTATTTCCGAAAAAAAAAGAAACGAAGTAGATATTAGATTATCCTTAGCAATGAAAGATTTCGCCATTTTTAAAAGTTGTTTATTTCATACGAGGAAAGAATAAATGTGTTTGATCCGGATATATTTCATTTGGATTTGATAATATTTTATCTATTCATAAGGAAGAAAACAGTTTTTAGATATGTTATAGACAATAAATGTTGACAGATGTGTATATATTCAAGAAGCGATTTGAACTTGCGAATGCCAGGTAATTTATTTATCCCTCAGGGGTATGACTGTCATTGCTTTTTCACATTGCATTACATTTTTGTTTAGAATTTTAATTTACAAATCTTTTTTTTTAAAAAGTGTGTTATTATATAATGATAATTTTTTGTAAAATTATCAAATATAATTTTCACGGATAAATCAGTAACCCACTCAAAAGCATAAAATAAAGTCTACAAATGAAATAAGTTATAATAAAATCAGGCAATCATATTTTATAATCTGATTAACACTATAAAGTATTTTACAATAGCTTTAGTTTCTCTGTTTTAATGATATATCTTAAACGATATCCTCTTTCAAATAATTTTAAAATATATCAGACAACTGTTTTGTAAATTTTAAAGCGCAATCGGCACGTACAATACACGTAAATTACAAAAAATGTCAAGCGATAGACAAGAAATAGATGTATGGTGATATTTACTGCACAATCAGGAATTAATCGCACATTTCATGTAAATTATTATCTAAATCTTGAATCTTTTTACTTTTCTTAACCTTTTCCTATATATAAGCGTGTTTCGACGGCTTTTTGCCCCCCCCCCCTTGAGGCCTCAAACAATGAAAAAATGCCCTATTTAGGCCCCAAATACTGTTTTTTGATTTAGAAATGTTGTTAAAAAAGTGACCACTTTTCTGGCGCCGTCCCCCGCCCAAATGTTACATCAGGGAGTTGCCAGAAGAGGGATGTGCCCACTTCTGTCAAGTTTCATCAGTATTGAATCATTTTTCATAGTTGCATGGCAGTTTGAACTTGTTACAGGAGACTTTTCAATGAAATCGGCCATTTTTCGCAATATGCTCATGGGGTAAAAGGTTAAAATGGTAGAACATATTTCTCAAGTTTTCTTGAAATATTTAAATTCATCTAGAGACATGCATCTTTAACGATTTTACATTAAATATACCAACTATTATTGTTCTTATTGCAAAATTACAAACTGGGCCCTATACTGAAATATTACAATTTATTAAACTTTCTTTCTTTGTGTTGAGCAATTACAAAAGTCTATGCTAATTAATAGATGAAATGTTTACCTCCGAGAGTTTTCTTCAATAGAGTTAGTCCTCAAATTTGCATCAAAGTTGTTGATTTCAGACTCGAACAATAATGGGTGATTTGAAAAGAATAACTCTGGAAAGATACTAATGAGAGTAACTTTGTGTACTGTCATCATCAAATATAATCACTTTAAATTACCGAAAAAATAACTTGTGAATATCTAACAGTGTTGACATCATTATAAGAACTATAAAGATTTTTCTTTTACAAATCTTAAAACTCAAATGAACATTAACTGATTCTCATAGTTAAAACACTTTATGTTTGTTACCTTCTGACCCATGCTCTGTAATCACAGTGCCAAACCCTTCCTCAATCACAGCCTTCAGGTGTTTTGACCAATGGAATAGTCGCTGCACATTTGCATTTCCTTTATTTTCTTGAAGAAGTTCCTTTTGACGTGTAAATCTTGACAACATATTTTGATTACTTATTCTATGTATCTGATAAGAATGGACAAAGATAAGTATGTTTCATGTCATGACTTACATAAAAATCATAATATATGTATAATTTATACTGAGCATTTTAATGAGATGTTTTGTCAGATAAATGTCTTTGCCTGTAACGCGTATGATTAGTTAAATTTTAAAGTATTGCTAAATTGAAGTTATGTCAAGTCAGAAAGTTTTTGTTTACTTTATTTTTTCTGTTTTGCGACGATTTAAACACAGCTTTTGATCATATGTCGAAGAGCAAACAATCCACCAATCCGATACTTTCCCTATTGAGCTAAGCAAGCAGGTACATTTCAGAATAATTGTGGTACAACACGTAAAAATGTCCGACACATAAGTTACTATATTGTATTGTATACCTGGCACGGCTTTCGCAATTCAGAACAAACAAAAGGGTATAAGAAAAAGAACTTGGATTAAGCTTTTGAAATAGGCTACTCACACAAACGATTGTTACACGACATCTCTTAAATTTTAATTCTTCTATAACTTTGTAGTCTGGACTATTTGTAGACATTGTTTCTAGGTATATGCCCATTCTTGATATGGAATCTGCTTCATCTAAAACGATATATATTCACTGCATTGTGCGTGAAAACAAACTAAGATCATGCATTGTATTTTATTTATATTGCCACATAAAATTCAATAGATTAAAACTTTTTTTTAACACGCGTACATTTTGTGCAAAAAGAAGCGAAAAAGCCATCTAATACCCTTATTATGATTAATCATACAAAATCACACACTAATACAATTCCGAAGCAGCACAAAATGTTGTACCACAATGAAAGGTTAAATTTCTTCATGAATTTAAGATTACTTAAATACTAATGCTACAATTAGTTACATATAAAGGCAGAACAGTATAACTGAGGGTTTAAGACCGATTCAGCAGTATGTTTATATCAGTCTCAAATAAAATATAAAATGCACATAAAATGCAAATTATGAGTTGAACCATAAATTATATTACTTAAAAAACATCTTTAGCATATCTCAAGTTAAAGTTTAATTTTCTTGACATATTTTACCTCATCTGTATGCATGCAACTTTAAAATGCGTCTGATATCATATTCTAAGATCATTCGAAGTTGAATTGATTCTGTTATCTATTTTTCATTCATCCTTTATGTCGATATGTTACTGGAACAAAGCCCTCCAAGCTTGAAAAAATTGACATCAAAGTGCACCATTTATGAATCCCTTATAACGAATTTCTTCTTAGGGTGGGGGAAATAAGCATAATATTAGAGCCCAGCTTTCTGTCTTTAAGAGTGTTTGACTTACCTCTAATAAAGCATCCACAGTGATTTGATTTTGTACCAATATGAGTATCAACCTGAAATGGAGTATATCTTTTCTTTATACTTAAAATATTACTTTTGTTTGTTTGTTTGGTTTGTGTTTTACGTCAAATCGACATAGTATAGATCATATCGCAACGTTCCAGCTTTACTGGTGGAGGAAGACCTCAGGTGGCCTTCCATGCATTATGGTAGGCACGAACGGGCACCTGAGTAGAACCACCTACGTTCCGTAAGCTAGCTGGATAGCTTCCTCACCTGAAAGAATCCAAAGTCCCTGTCGGGATTCGAACCAACAGAGGTGAGGGGCAAGTGGTTTGAAGTCAACGACCTTAACTACTCGGCCACGGACGCCTCATTTATTTTGAAACAATGCTTAAAACACAGTGTGAAATATCTTATTCAAATTCCCAGTTATTTTTAACTGAATACTTTTCAATATTGTAACATATTTTGAACTAGTAAGTGCAGTAGAAGGTTAAAAGATTACCGCTGATTTATCGGTGTAGGTTTCCTTTTCTACAGTCGCTTCACAAACATCTAAGGTTTTGAGTTTTGTTTCTTCAATAGTGTAATTAGCTATACTTGTCGCATATCCAGCTTTCAAACTTATTCTTTCTGTACAACTTTGTTCCTCTCCGTTTGTAATACAATTATTGCATGTTTTACATGTATATGATTTCATTGCATCGCTATCTTTAGCGTCGCATTCCACTTCTAATTTGGTAAACCCATTCCACTTACTTTCCTTTGAGGTGTCAGACAAATCAGTTACTTGACAAATTTGGTCATTTTCTTTAATGGCACTATCATTAGTATTACACATTTCATCTTTCAGTTTGGCGATATTCTCATTCCTACTGCAAATTTCATTCAATGATAGAGTATTTTCAATTTTCAATTCGTCGGTAAACTGATTCAATTTGTC